CAAATCATTGTATGTTGATATTAAATATCCCTTAAGCATTCTTAATCAGTTAGCTTCTGTTCTTTTGTCTCCTATATATATATATATATATATATTTGCAACTCTGTTACAATGGAGACTTCCACTTTTAAGAGACAGAGGAGTGTGTGTTTGTTCTCAGAAGTCTCATTACCGAGGAGCTCTCTTGCCAACCAATTCATAAAATGTAGTAGATAGTCAAGCGGTTAGCTTCCTAAGTGTCTTAGGAAATTTGTATTGTTTATTATATTTTCAACAATACATCTATTTAGGGGGAATGGAATACAGGTAAGCACTATGTTCAGACCTTTTAATTTCATCTTTAAGTTCCTGAATCTTCATCCCATTTGATGGGATCTTAATAAGTACTCATTTTATTGACTATAAATGATATTTAAAAGAATTAGTATTATTCTTGAATTTTCCCCTTCTATAAAGTTAATGAGGGAAACCCCTCAGGAAAATGAAAAGTACAAGTGTTCAGTTTCATCCTTATTCCTTTCCCCATTTTGAGTTCTATAAGAATACTGGGGGAAAAAAATCAAATCAGTGAATGTTTTAGGTCAAAACATTAAGACCACATTCCTTATTGTCCTTGAATGAAGTCTGCTTTCTTTAGTTTTATATACCACCCAAGAAAGCACTAAGGAATGTTACTTGTGAGAGAAGAAGCTGAAATCTCAGGTAGCCTTGTTTTCTAAGACTACATTGCTATGTACTCAACCAGAATTTCAATGCCTTATAGCTGGTTCAGAATCCAGTCATGTAGTAGACTGGCTTTTTGAGTATCTAGAAGACAGTTCGTGTGTATTTGTAAACACTAGTTTAAAGTATTGGTAACAGCAAACCACTGTATGAAGCCACTGAACTAAGGCTTCATTCAGCATATTGTTATATTGTTAGGCATCGCGCCAAGCATTGAACCAGTGATGACAATCACTGGTTCCTGTTCGCACTGAATAGTATACTGATGTGATATTATAGATACTGATGTGATACGAAGTGTAGCAAATACCATTAAGGAGCAACATGTTGATAAAAGGTTAAGACTAGTGGCCAGGAAAGGCTTTGAAGGGGATATGTGAACCAAGAGTTGAAGAACAAGGAGGGTAGTAAATTAGGCAAAGATATGAAAAGAGCAATGTTCAAAGGTGCACTCTCCAGGGACAGGCTGTGGGCCCAAGAGAAGGAATGCAGATTTAGTAGAGTCAGAGGTGAGAAACTGGGTAAGGGCTATGGGAAGTTTATAGTTCTATACAGTGTTAAGTTTGTATCTTAATAACAGTTGGAAAGTTGAAGGTCATTAAGCTGTCTGTGGGCATGGGGAGGAAGATGGTTGGCCTAATAAAATTGCCATCGAAAGAACAGTGCAGTGTTGAGAACAAATTGGGGCAAGACCCGCTCTGTTAAGAATGGCTCCAGTGTAAGTGGAGGGTGGTGATAATGGATTCTATCTGTTCCCTATTGGCTGCTGCTCAGTAACTTGATTTTTTCCTAGCTTTGTAGCTATGGTCTAGGTGATCAATCACATGACTAAACCTAGCCAATCGGCGTTCTAGTCATTCCTAATTCTAGATCCAAAAACAATCACAAACTACAAGCTCATATCTTGATTCTGAATGTTTCAGCTATTCCAAATTAACCACTTAACTAGCCTAGTTTCCATACAGTTCTCAGGGTAAAAACCTTGGATGTCTGATTTCTTTACATAAAATGTATCTAGTCCTTAAGCAAATACAATTATACCTGGGTAATACCCAGAGTTGTCTAGTACTTGAGAGTACCACCACTATCAGCTTAGAACAGGTTTAACAGTAGCCTCTATGCTATAACTTTTACAACAGCCAGAATGAACCTTCTGAGAAAGGTTTTGTTGCTACTGTATTTTCCGAATTTCGTCCTCTGAAATCCAAATTCTGAGGTCCATTTGCCCTAAGTGGACCTAGCTGGCCTAACTTCCTACTGTTCTATTTTTGGCTCACTATGGCTGCTTTACTAGGATTTCCCCCATACCTGTAACAGCATAAGCATCCAGAGGTGTGTCACGCAAATACTCCAAATAAAGTCTTGGTGATTTGAGTTCTTCGCTCCAGGGTCACCCCCTCAGACACTTCATATTCATTTCAAACTTTTTTTACTTGCTGTATACTTTTTTCTTAATGACACCCTAAGTTTTCAGCTAGAATTATGTAGGCTTCGCGAAGGACCAGTTTTGGTCATATCCCTTTGGTATGGTATAGTGACTTTTTTTTTCTTTTTATGTAAGTGCTGCTGATTGCGGGCAGTGGTGCTGATTGCATTCGAATTGGAAGGAGCTCCAATTTCAGCGGGGGGGGGCAGGAAAATGAGTTGGAACTAAACATTTCTGAGTTTTGCCTTCTCACAGGAGAAAAGTAAGCAGTTGGATTTATTTCTTGAGGTTCAGTAATCTGACCCCAAAAGATACGGATGTAAAAAATACATATAGTGGTCCTTATAGTTTAGAGTTTGGGCCAGTTCAACTGGAACTGAGGGCTAAGAGAAGAGGGGAACCTAGGGCAGAAACCCCGAGCAGGTTTTCAAAAGTGCACCATCTTTTCTGGCGGCCAGACATAGGCGTAAAGGAGCTCGCAAAATACAACGCCCGAAGTGATCGGTAGAACTGCAACAGGATTAAAAATGACTGAGGTCATTACTACGAGTAAAATGTCTGCTGGTCTAATTCTAGCTTGTCACATTGAAATGGGAAGGCACACACAGGTCTCTCGAGCCAGTCTCGCAATCCACGCAAAACCAGTCTCCGTGCCCCCGTACTATCGAGCAGTGAAAACACTGTGGGTCTGGACTTCTGCTTACCTTTCCCTTCCTAGCTCAGGTATCTTAACTCGAGAGCTAGCGAGAGAGAGAGACAGGCAAGTGTATCCGGTACCCCTGCTTCCGCGAGCACACTGACACGTACAGACGCGGTCGCGGTTTTGGCTGCAGCCCCGCCCCCGGGGCTCAACGTCATTGTGTGGAGACGGGGTTAGGGAAGGTCCCCTCGCAGTCGTCGCCTGCCAGCGCCTGAGCGGGGTGTGGTCCCGGAACAGGGCGAGTTCTCCCGGCGGGCTATCAGGCACACGCCGAGGACAGCTCCTGCTCGCTCGTCGCTGCAGTGTCCCCACGTGCTTCCGCTTGTCTGCTGGCTGGGAGCTCGCGGGCTCGGGACGCAGGTACCCTACTGGGCTGGCTGGGGAGCGTGCGGGGGTTTGTTGGTGTCTGTGTCCTGGGGGCCGGGCGTAGCCGGATTAAGGACTATAGCTCTGGATCCTTGCGGCGTCTGGCCCTTGCCGACTGCCGCGCACGTCTGGCGCTCTAAAGTGCGCCGAGATCTTTTCCCCGAATGGGCGGCCACTGCCCGGCGTGCTTTCTGCTGGGTTTGCTTGGCTGGATCTCTACCTTCTAGTGACCTGTAGTCCTGGGGGTCGGGGTGAATGGGTAGGAGACGACACTTTTGATTTCTGCGGTGCTTGCCCGCTGCATCGTATTACAGCGCCGAAGCAATCTGATCCCTACGCTCTTAAATTTATTCGTTTATACTGCTACCACAGTGCTCGGCACAACGAAGAATGAAAACTAATTTTTCTCCTCCTTCCAGCCGTCGTATTTATTAAATCTTCCATAGCAACTCCAACCTACATTAATCGCATACCTTAGTGAAATCACTGGCCGCACACATATTACATCTAGTTTTCCTTACTTTTAGACAGATAAGCACCTCATCTCTTTCTCTTGAATATCTTAATCCCTCCAAGGAGAATGCAAGCTCCTTGAAGTCCGGTCTTTATCTGCCACTTCTGGGACGCCCACTGTAAGGACAGCTAAAAGCAGTCCCCAGTAATTAGTTACAGATTGATTACTGTGGGATCTTTATGTAGCCAGCAGCACAGCCTGCAGGCCGGATAGGTTGGTGAACTGGAAAGATTTCAGGCTTTGGAGGCAGGCATGCTTTATTGTGAATCCTGTTTCCTTCACTTTTCTTCCATGGTAGACTTGAATTATTTATAATTGCTCCCTTTCCCTATAAAATGGGTGTCATTGAGTGTAATATAGTCTTTAATACTATAATTGAGTGTAACATAGTGTTTAATACTGTCATAAGATACAACTGCTAAAAATCCGTATTTAGATTGAGCGGTTAGAAGGACAGTTGAGGCCTTGTCAAGGTTCAGTTAAAGGGCATTATGTGCAGTAGGCACTGAAGTTTCTAATAACAGGTCATTTTTACTGTATGTAGTGGTAATACTGACCTTTCTCATGTTTCTCACGTTACGGTGATACAATATTTTATCCTGTATACCCAGGATAACTTTTTAGGCCTCTCTGTACAGACCTTGTTTCACTCCTTTGGGGAAACAATTGGACACATTTCATTCTAGTGGTAATCATTGTTTTCTTTACCCTGATTATCAGTAGCACTGAATATGAACTGTTAAAACAAAACAAACAAAAACCTCCAGTAATAAAAGGAACAAAGTTAGAATCACCTGTAGCTTCCCCATCTAGAAGTAACTATATTTTGATGTTCTCTTGCAGTCTTTATCCTATATCTATATGCATAAAAAATGTTATCATACTTTAGCCTGCCACGTCACCTTTTCATTAGCATCTATATCCACAATCTTTAAAAATATTTTTGAAAACTGCCGCCTTATCGTATCGATAATCCATTATATATTTTAATTCTATTTTTTTGAACATCACTTCTAATTTAAAAACATCTCATGGAGGGCACTTCCCATTTGAGGGAACATTTTCTTCATTTCAAAAACCTGTTTCCTAATTTAAAAAAAAAAGCAGACTTGTTTATATATGCATACAAGAACTGGGGTATGAGCTGGAGTGCAGGGGGGTGAGGATTCACCAGAGACAGAGTGGGGAGCAGAACAGGCAGACCAACAGAAACACACTGCTGAGGGGAGCAGCAGGTGATTCAGGAGAGTCTCGGTGGAGGATCAAACCTGTGCTGCAGTGGCTGCCAATAGCTTCCATAGTGCTGCATCTTATCCCCTTGTGCCACCAGAGAGACCCCTATTTCCTAATTTTGAAACTGAGATCGATGTCTTTCCTGGAGAGAGGTTTGAAAGTTAAGTGAGATTTTGCTTATAAATATGCCAGCACAACTCTGGCTCCACTGTAGGAAGCCTACTAATGTGATGTTTATGTGTAGCTGTTTCTTGTCTTTCTGTTTTAGTGATAGTCTTTCATCATGCATCGGAAGAAAGTAGATAACCGACTCCGCATTCTCATTGAGAATGGGGTAGCTGAGCGGCAAAGGTCTCTATTTGTCGTCGTTGGAGATCGGGGAAAGGACCAGGTAAGATTTGGTAAATGTGGCCTGTTCCGAAGAGTCTGCACATCATGGGATCTTTGGCTGGTTTTCTTTTATGTTAAAGTACCTAATGAGAACCTTTCTTTGCATTTGGAAGCGATAAATAAAGCATCTGCATTTAGAATTTTAGCAGAGGGGTAACAGTTTTTTATGACTCTGGATGAGCACAAGGCCAAGTGTGTGTGTGTCTCAGTTTTTAGCACCACTTTGGTCTCTACTTTCCTTGTGTTCTCAGACGCTTCCTTCCACTGGCCCTCAGATTAGTCTCCACATTTGTCAGATGAGGTAATGGGTCTGGCTGTCCACCTTAAGAGATTCTGCCACCTTTTCCTTTCACAGGTGGTCATTCTTCATCATATGTTGTCCAAAGCCACTGTGAAGGCTCGACCTTCAGTGCTGTGGTGTTACAAGAAGGAGCTGGGCTTCAGCAGGTGAGCCGGGCCTTTTGCGTCTCCCATACCGCTTCTAATTCCTGCTCATTAGTTAATGCCAGGATGTGATTCCTAGACAGTGTGTCAGGGTTTTTTTTTAATGGAGCTCTTGTGTCTGAGGATACTTTCAAGTAGCTGATGTCCTTTCTTCATTCTTGACAGTAAGTTTCAAATCCTATTCATGCCTTTTGAATTCTCAACTCAATTCCTTGCTTTCTCTGTGTGATATTTTTTCTTCCTTTTAAAGCTGTCTAATGCAGATTCCTTAGAGTGCCGTTCCCTCCCTCAAATGTACTCAGTGTCTTCACTCCTTTCTTATTACCTTTTGTTTCTGAGGAAGCTGTGTCTCACCCCCTGACCAAAGCCATCCCCTCTCTGTACTCTGGGTCTCTTCTCTCCTTCAGGAGCTTTTCCCTGTGCTGGCCACTCACATTCCTTTGAGTCTTTTTTCTTTTTCCTGTAAATGTGCTCAGCTCTCCATACCCACCCTGCCCCCAAATGACTACAGACATACCCAGTGTTGTTACTCAGGTTAGCATTTTCTCTTATTTGTATGGCCAAACACTTTGAAACAGAAGCCTTTTGCACTTCCTGGCCATCCTCTTTGCTGTCCAAGTTTCCTGTCTAGACAGGTTATGCTACTGAAAGTCATTATCAAGCTGATGTCTACTGCAACAGCTTTTCTCCCCTTTCTCCTTGGTTCTAGCTGTTCAGTAGAGACCTATGGTAAAATTTTGACCTATAATCCTTTTGCTATAGTCCTCAATTCTGGTGCTTTCTTGTTTTCTCTCTTTCTGTAAAAGAAAGAGGTAAATGATAGTTATATATTTGGGGTGTTAAAAAAAGAGTTCAGCAGCTCCTGAGACATGTCCAGATATCACTCCAGCTCTTGTATCCTGTGTAAGTATTGTCATAGTGTAGTGCTCCTCTGGACACAGCTTAGGGAAGGAGTTGATGAATTTAGAGCAGATGAGTAAAGTAACCAGCTATCATCCTGCCCGCTTCATATCCTCTGGGTAGTGGCACAGTGTCATTGAATCTCACTTGAGACTCAGCTCTTGAGAACACCTAGTTAGGTTTCAAGTTCCGGCCCTGTGAGGCTTCGGTCCTATGCTTACCTTTCTTTTAACGTGAAGTATCTGCAGCAGGTGGCAGAACAGTAGGGTTTGCTAGAGACTGGTTACTGTCTCCCTCCAACGCCCACTTCTTTAACTACTCTGCTCAATTCCTCTCCAGTTTTCTTCCCCTAAAAGTAAGGTATTGGCTACACAATTTCTAGGTTCCCTTCTAGCTCTGCAGGTCTAAGTGGATGATCACTGAGCCTGTCCCCTGCTCCTGACTTCAACCTCCATGGTTAACTTAACTCACGGTATTGTGGGGGCTGGGGGTTCATTGCAGTCATAGGAAGAAAAGAATGCGACAGCTGCAGAAGAAAATCAAGAATGGGACGTTGAACATAAAGCAAGATGACCCCTTTGAGCTGTTCGTAGCAGCCACAAACATCCGCTACTGCTACTACAACGAGACCCACAAGATCCTGGGCAACACCTTTGGCATGTGTGTTCTCCAGGTAGGTGACTTCAGCAGCCTGTGCCTGGAACCGGGGCATTGAGGGTGCTTGGGCTGCTTGGTTTCCCATCAGAACAGTATACAATGAAGAGAGAGAGATGATTCACATCCTCCCCAACCCCCCTTTTTTTCTCAGAAGAAAACTACCTGTGTCTCACTGGCATCTCTTTTCTTGCCTGGCTATTTAATAATAGACTTTCACTTTTTTTGTTTTGAGTTCTAGTGACCTTTGATACTTTGATTCCCATGATTCCCCGCCAGACACTTAGGATACTTAGGCACACATCCCCACATTTTGATCTGTGTTTATTATATGTATGTCCATGGTGCCTGTAGCTATATAAATGTCAGAATCGCACCTTACAATATATATAAACTAAGAAAGAGAGGAGATACTGTGTCTAGATATTCCAAGGCCAGAAAAGAAATTTGTGCCCATTCTCATCTGGTCACTCACTGACAGGGAGTGTTTGCGACCCCTTTGCCAGTTGTCCTCATGATGGGTTATTTACGCAGTAGCTCCCCCGTGTGGTGCAGTTGAGTTTTGTCAGACAGGTGCAAACTAGACATGTCAGGAAGTGAGTCAGATATTTCTGAAATTCACATGTGAGTCGGTGAAGATTGGAGGACTTCTTTCCAGAGAGGGTTTTATCAGAGATTAGGAGAAATGCTCAGACATATAAAACCAGGAGCGACTATTCTCCAGGGCTGGGCTCTCTTGTGGGCTGAGGAGACAGGTTCTGAGTTAGAAGTTGGTCTCTTGGTTTTGTGCTCTGAAGCCCTCTTCACCTTATCACCTGGTCCTTGGTTAGGCTTCGCTAGGGGGGTGTTCTTGGTATGACCTGCCCATTCTAAGTTGTCCTTTTTCCAGGACTTTGAAGCCTTAACTCCAAACTTACTGGCCAGGACTGTAGAGACAGTGGAAGGTGGGGGACTGGTGGTTATCCTCCTGCGGACCATGAATTCACTCAAGCAGCTGTACACGATGACCATGGTGAGTGTCAACTTTTTAATACGAGTGTGGGGCTCAAGTTAGTCTGTTTTTGCTCACTTTTATGAATTCTTGTTGAGCACCTCCAGTGAACTGGCAGCACACCCTATGGACTGGGAACGCTGAAAAAAACCAGTGACAGAGACATTGCTGAGAAACCTCAGTGGGCCAGCATTTTGCATTTGATTTCAGATATTTGCAAATCTTAGACCTGTGAGATTCAGAGCTGATGCAGCTGTTATCTCATTCAGTTTCTGAAATAATATTCTGCAGAGTAGTGCCAGTGCAAACTTGTGTATTGTAGAGAGGAACCAGGTACAGATTCCTCATTGGCCCTCACCCCAGGGGTAATGCTCATGCTGCTCCCAGTATGGCAAGAACTTCAATTCTGGGAAGGCAAGTTTTCCGCCAAAGTTGAGGATATGGTTAGAATGGTGCATGTCTCCCTAGATGCATTCCTGGCACGGATCTGTACATTCTTTGGAGGGGAGGAGTCCATTTTATGATATTGGCTACAAGGTGAAAAAAGTTAGTGATGAAGTAAAGGGATCGCTTTCTGCTTCCAGTGCAGCATGTAGCCCTGGGCCAGTTGGGCACAGATTTCACTTCCCTGGGCCTCCTTGATCTCAGGGTTGCTGAGCGCCGACACTGATGCTTCTTAATGAGTGTTGTCTCTTGCAGGATGTGCATTCGAGATACAGGACGGAGGCCCATCAGGATGTGGTAGGAAGATTTAATGAGAGGTGGGTTTGTAGCAGGTCTCAACCTCTCATTGTGGAGAACCACAGTGGGAGGAATATTTTGATCTTGAAGCTCACTGAAGTCTGCTTCCATGTACAGGAAGGTTATGCAGTGGCCCCTAGTGGGGGCCATCTTGTCAGTGGGAGGGGCACTTGCAAAGCTCAGTGGACGTGCATGGAGAGCTAGGGCCAGGGCCTAGCTCGGGCCTTCGCCATGTCTCCCTCGTTTGTCTGATTCATCTCTCAGGGGTGATGAGTCTGCATCACTGCTTCCCAGAACACTGATGTTTTGATACGAACCTTAGACAGGGGCCTTCTGGCCAAATATGTCTGGGAAGCACCAATGCTGTTTTCCTTTATGAAGTTCACATTAGCCTCCTGCAGCCTCTGAGAAGTCTCACAGCATCAGGGACCATTTTGATTGTTTCCCAAGTTTACTTGATCGCAAAGCTCGGGGAGACCAGTTAGCAGCCTGTAAAAGATCTTAGAAACTGTGGTTCTCAAGGGAGTGGTTTGCCCCGTGGCCACTTGGCAATGTCCGCACCTGTTTTGATTGTCATGGCGTGGGTTGCAGGGGCTGCTGCAGGCATCCAATGGGTTGAAGCCAGGGGTGCTGCTAAACGGCCTAAAATGCTCAGAACAGCCACTCAGCAAAGCATTGTCTGGCGTGGTATGTCTGCAGTGCTAGGTTTAGAGATGCTGCCTGGCTGAACTGTGGGGCCTTTCTGATGTTAACCATCGCTGCTGCGCTCACTCTGGGGAAGGGTGGGGCCAGGAGGCAGCTGTCCTACCCCATTGGACCAAGGCTGGAATTGATGTGTGAGGCCCTTTCCTTGCCATTGGGAGGCATTTGACATGTATAGTGAAACATGCTTTTCTGTACCCAAGAACGTTTGTATTTTCTGAGGGAGAGTTTCTCTTTCTTCTATTTATTTTTTCCCTTATGACAGTAGGTCTAGCCATTTGTTTTTGCTTTCCTGTGTGACTGGCGATCCTGTGGGGTGGTTTGGAGTTCCTCACATAAGGGTAGCCTGACCCACCTCAGTGCTGATGGGCGAGCCGAGGGGAGGATGTGGGCAGGGCCACATGGCTTCGGGAGTGACAGTGAAACGCAGTTGGAGTGTGTGTGATCAGGCTCGAGAGAATTTTGGTTTTCTTGTTGCTGTAAAAGCTTGTGCAGGGACCTTGCAGAGGAGACACTGTCATTCGCTCTTTCTCTGCTTCCTTAGAAGCATGTGGGCCAAATGGTTTTCCTGGAGAAGCCGCACCATGGCTGTGTAGACATTGGGTCCAACCCAGCGCCTCATTATGGTCGTCTGTTCCTCAGGTTTATTCTCTCCCTGGCCTCTTGTAAGAAGTGTCTCGTCATTGACGACCAGCTCAGCATCCTGCCCATCTCCTCCCATGCTGCCAGCATTGAGGCCCTACCTCCACAGACCCCGGTAAGTCTGCCAGGGGTCGGGTAACAGAGAGGTCAGCTTTCTGTGGTGACTCTCCCGTGGCAGACCTTCCCCTTCTTTCCTTTCCGGTAGGATGAGAGTCTCAGTCCTTCGGAGCTGGAGCTGAAAGAGTTGAAGGAGAGTTTGCAGGACACGCAGCCTGTGGGCGTGCTTGTGGACTGCTGCAAGACCCTGGACCAGGTGAGTGGCCTCGGCGCCTCCCACTCGGTGCAGACGTCACAGGCACATGGCTGTGCAGCAAGCGGCGGGGCCGAGTTAGGATGGTCAAGACTGGCTCCTCCCCGGGGAGGGGCCTTTCACTCGCACTCAGCATCTGCAGAAGCAGCAAGGCTGCTCCGCACCCAGTCGGGAGCCCAGCGCATCCTGAGTGAATTGTTCAGGGGGCTGCAGGTTGGATTTACAGAGGAGCCCTTGAGTCCTTTGCCCAGAGAAGGTGTGTGTTTGTCTTCTTGCATTGTAGCTGAGTTTTGTGACATAAAGGCTTGTGTTTAGGCTTTGCGGAGAGGACGGAGTGGATGAAGCCTCCTGTTCTCTCCCGGTTGCAGGGAGAATTGTGCTCAGGGGCTCTGGCTGTGGTGCCACAGGCTGGATAGGCGCCGCCAGTTTGCAGCTTTGTGCTCCTGGAGATGTCCAGGGCCAGTAAACTTCACTCTCCTGAAGCTTCTGGGCTGTGCTGGAGCTAAATGGGCCTGCCCGGTGGCCTTCGAGCTTTTGAGTGTGTCCAGGGTTCTGGTCCTGCCTGCGCCTGAGGTGCACTGCTGGCCCTCGTGCTGGGACAGCGACAGTAAACGCCTCCACACGGCCCTGAGCTGCGGGCTGTGTTCCCTACTCATTCTGGAAAGAGCATCTCTAGCTGCGGAGCGTGTTCTGCAGCCCAGGGCTCGACCTCCTCTGATGGAAAATACAGTATTATTGTTTTATATTGTTGTATCCATTATGGTATCCATTTTACCTCCGGGCGTTGGGTAGGAGAGAACCTGGGAAAGGGCAGAAGAGGGAGAAACGACAATACCAGTGGTCGTGTTAAGGTTAACAGGGCCACGTGAGAGAAAAGTGTGTGACTCTGGTGACGATTCTGAGCTAGACTCGGTGATGGTCATTTTGTGGTTGTTGTGTGGTACTCCTGAAACAAATGGGCCGATTATATCTAAGTACAAACTAAGTAAATAAATAGACCTAGTACTACGCGGGAAATGGCCGATGGCAAACACCTGCGTGAGCCGCCCTAACAGCGCCAGCCTCCAGGCCCAGGTGCGCCCACTCACACACGCCCGCACCACGCTCCAGGTGTCCACCGTCAGGCGTGCACGCCCTGAGCCCACGCTCCCACGCGCCTCCTGTGTTCAAGGCCACAGGTGGGATAGCTACAGGCCAGCGCGTAAAATCCTGACCCTCACCCTGCAAGCGTGTACATTAAATGGGCTTTACATTATTTATGGATCCGCCGATAGTGTGTGAAACTTTTCCCCTCCAGACTTTCGGCATGGGGCACTGATGGGGAATATGGGATTATTGTTTTTTTTTGTTGTTGTTGTTGAAGGTTTATTTACTTATGCATACAGAACTGGGGTACAGGCCAGAGGTGCAGGGGCAGTGAGAGGATTCACCAGAGGCAGAGTGGGGAGGAGCAGAACAGGCAGATCGACGAAGTACACTGCTGAGGGGCAGCGTGGGTGGGTCAGGAGAGGTCTGCTGCGCCATGTGGGTCAGCTCCCTGGCTGGGGATCAAACTTGTGCTGCAGGGGCTGCGGAGAGCTTCATAGTGCTGTGCTTTAACCCGTTGCGCCGTCAGGGAGGGCCCAGGATTATTGTTTAATTTATGTTGCTTTATTTATATCCTTCCCCCTTGCCCCCATTTCTGTTGCTTTAGTTACTAGAGAAGCAGGCACCCTTTTCATATAGTTATTGGTCGTCTGTTTTTAATTTTTTTGACAAACCAGACTTTTTTGTTTCGGTCTTTAGAATACATTTCTAGATGGCATGCATTTCTGTTTGTCACTGTAGTTTTTCCAGTTACATTTTATCAGAGTTTGTAACTTCACCCTAAGGGGAGAAGCAAAGGGTAAAACAAAGCTTTGAGCAAAACCTTGAGCAAAGTCTCACAAATCAAGTGGCTCTTGATTGACCCCCTGAGTGTTTGCACCTGGGGAGACACCCTGAGTGTTTGCACCTGGGGAGACTGGCTCTGGGTGCCCCCTCCTCCTCAGGACGCCCCATCCACCTGCCTGGGCCTGCATCTCTTCGTTGCCTCTTGTGTACCTCTGCAGCTGTGTGTGTCAGGCAACTTCTCCAGGTCCTGTTCCCAATGGGGAGCCCTTTGGGGGAGTAGAGTTTGGCCCTCCAGTAGTGTTGCACTTCCTCCTCGGTCTGTGCTGCCAGCACCTTACTCTCCCTCCTGGGCGCCAGGCGGTCCTCTCAGCACTGGGTTCAGCAGTAAAAAGGGATAATGGCTGCTTCATGAAGCTTGTATTCTGGGGAGACAAGCTGGCAGATCAAGGAAATAACCATATCACATAGGTAGTAGAAGGTGCTAGAAATGATGGCTCAACTTTCAGAGGATCGAGAGGGCCAGGGAGTGCCAGGGGAAGATGGCATAGGGGGAAGCCAGGGGAGGATGGCAGTCTGGATCGATGCTCACGGAAGTCTCATTTAAAGGGGATATTTGAGCTGACGCTGGTGGGAGTTGAGGAAATGTGCCATGTGGCACCTGGAGGGAGTGCTTCTGGCAGATGGTCAGCAAGCACGCAGGCCCGCGGAGGACATCTCCCTGGTGTGCTTGGGGAGTAGCAGGGGGCCTGCTGAAGCAGAGTGAGGGGCAGCGAGGAAGACGAGGAGGAGAGAGGAGAGGAGGAGAGAGGAGCATGTGGAGGCTTTATATTTAGAGGCTCTTCTGAGCACAGCTGCCAGCAGTCCCCTGGGTGAATTTTAAAAGGATCCCTCTGGCTGCTCTGTTGAATTTGCATTAAGGTAGTGGAGGGGGGAGCAGAAAGACTAATCAGGAGTCTGCTGGAATAATGGAAGCGAGACAGGATGTTTGCTCCCTCCAGAGTGACTGCGGAGGACAGTGGTGAGGATTGGAGGGTTTTGTTTTGAACAGAGCACTGGCAGAATTTGGTGGTGATTCAGGTATGGGAAGAAAGCGAAGAAGGCTTTTGACCTAAATAATGGGTAGAGATGGGGGAGGGAGAGCTGGTGCGTGCCGGGGCGGGCGTCAGCTGTTAGGTTTTGAGCTTGAGCTGTTCGGGGTACGAGGGCAACATGCGGTTGTGCAGAGTCTGCTGTGATGGCGAGGGCTGGCCTGAGCACGTGAGGGGGCATCTGACCGGTGCTTAGAGCCTCAGCTGAGGAGGAGGTGACCTGGGGGTGGAAGCCCAAGTACTGGGCCTGGCTCCTGAGCTGCCCCGGATTGAGAGGTGCACACTTCAGGTCCACAGCAGAGACGTCAAGGGGTTAGTGTGCATGTCTGGGGCTGTCGGTGACATAGTATTGCAGGTTGCAAAGTTCCTGAGAAGAGATGTGAGGAGACCTACTGTGGTGATCATTTCAGGTAACACTAAGGTGATGCTGGAGGTGAATTATTTTCAGTTGGGGGGGGGAGCCCTGCTTTTTTTTTTAGACGTGGCATCATCTGGCTTCTCCCCAGTGGTGGTGGCAAACAGCTCACAGTTGGCCTTTTGGGATCTGCCTAACACAGTGCGTTTCTCTTTCCACAGGCCAAGGCTGTCTTGAAATTCATTGAGGGGATCTCTGAAAAGACCCTGAGGAGCACTGTTGCGCTCACAGCGGCCCGAGGAAGGGGCAAGTCTGCTGCCCTGGGGCTGGCGATTGCTGGAGCGGTGGCTTTTGGGTAAGGGCATCTGCTTCCCTATCTTCAGGAACTCTGGGCTCTGTGGGAGCAATATGCAGGGTTGGTCACAGGACCCAGACGCCTTTCTTAGGTCTAGAGGCTCCCTGTGTGAGATTTCCAGGGTTGTGGGTTCCCCAAACACCCTCCTAAGGTACATCTGAAAGTGTGGACAGACACATTCCCAAACACCCCGAGCGCCTTTGTGATCACTGTTTAAGGTTGAGCAAACACACAAAATTAAAGAAATGGGGGTAAGACATCTTAAAACTCTGGAGATGAGAATGTATGTGGGCAGCTTTGCTAACAGCAAAGTGCAGGTTTGACATTTTTAATGATTTTGATCGAGAGAAGATCTTGTTCGCCCCTGAGGTGCATGCAGCTTTGGAGTGTGATGTTGCTTTCTGTCCTTTGCTCTGGGTGGGAGGTTTATCCAGGTGCCTCGAGTCCATGCTGTGGCTTTGCAGAATAGCTGATGGCTTTAGAATGTGCCTGCTGCGCAGTCGCTCCTTGGTGCTCCAGACAGCTCCTGGTGCATTTCGTAAACAGATGAACCTGAGCTCAGGGAGCTGCAGTGACTGACCTGAGACCCCAGCGAGTCGGTCCTGGGAAAGCCGAGGCTCTGCTCAGTTCTCGATGCCTGCCCTTTGTTTTCCTTGCTCAGCCACTTAGCCCTGAGCATCCTCACACTGGGATGCTAAGGAGCCTTGGAAAGTTGCTGTGGCCTTGACTTCCCACTGATGGCCCTGTCCGGCACCACAGTTTGAAGCCCTCTAGCGCAGCTAGCCATGAGCGGGAAGCTGCGCCCGTGTCCCAGATGCGGTTTGGGGGCGGCACAGCAGTTCTACATGCTGGCGGCCTGGTGCGCACAGCCTGGCGGTGTGCTTCCGAAGCCGTTGGTAGCTAACTGGTGGGACAGCATCCCTCAAGGTGTTAATGTGGTTTCGTGAGTCTGGGAGGAAAAGTAAACTCAGCCCTGGCTTTTCTTCCCTTTTCCCCAAAAGTGTCCTGACTTTTTTTGGTTTGTTTGCACCCATGTCATGGGGCAAACGAAAATGTTTTCTTTTTTCTTAAGTTCCCTAAACATTTGTTGGATCTACTAATTAAAAAAAAAACTTCTCTTTGATTCCATAGGTACTCCAATATCTTCGTTACCTCCCCCAGCCCTGATAACCTCCACACTCTGTTTGAATTTGTGTTTAAAGGGTTTGATGCGCTGCAATATCAGGTAGGATATCAGGATAAGAATTTATCTAGAATCCAGAGGCAGTCTGTAAAAGTGTCGGCTCAATTTCTTCACATTTCGTTTCTAAAGCTTGTTCCTAAAATTTGGCATTGTTTTGTCTCTTTTCTCATCAGGAGCATCTAGATTATGAGATCATTCAGTCTCTTAACCCAGAATTTAACAAAGCCGTGATCAGAGTGAACGTATTCCGAGAACACAGGCAGACCATTCAGGTGAGGCTTGTCTGCAGCCTGCCGGGGCCGCCGTCCTGCTGTGCAGAAATGACGCCAAGATGTTTTCTCTAGTCAGTTTGTGCCCTAACTGCATATCTGCAAAACAGTGTTGGTGGTTTATGATGAACTTGTTCCAGATGCTCAGCCTCATCTCAGAAACATTCAAGCAAAGGGCTAAGCCAGAAAGCCGAGCCCTGGAACTTGAGTAATCGGGGTTGTGTGCGTGCTACTCAGTCACCAGAGATATAACCACTGTTCTGACCTCAGCTCGATTCTACTTGGTTACTGCAGGCTCTGAAGTGGCGCATCTGACACTAGGACAATCACCTTGCTGTCTATCTTTTTTTAAAGATTTATTTATTTATACAAAACTGGGGTTCAAGCCAGAGGTGCAGGGTGTGAGGGGCTTCACCAGAGATAGAGCAGGGAGCAGAATAGGCAGATCGAGGGCGAACACAGCTGAGGGGAGCAGCGGGCGGGTCAGGAGAGGTCTGCCGCACCCTGCGGGTCACCTGTGGGGTGGGGATCGAGCTCCCACTGAAGCGGCTGCCGCCAGCTCGCAGTGCTGAGTTACAGCTCTTTGTGCCACCAGGGAGGGCCAACCTTGTGCTGAAAAGGAAAAGAGAACTTGATGAAATGTATTCTGAATCTTTGGGGTTCAGTCAGTGGCCCATTTTCCAACTTAATTATGTGTCCACAGATGATAGCATGCGATAGTTGTCCTTTTTTATTTTTGCCCTTTTTTCCTTAACATCTGTTTTCAAGATTTGTCTTGATCAAGGCTTGTAGGTCTGTTGATTTTAAGCACTATCTCCTACAGTTTATTTGTATGTTTCTAAAAGTGGAATTGTTGGGTTTTCCAGCTTTCTTGGATTTTACCCAATTCTCCTTTAAAGTGTTTGTTCCGATTTACCTTTACATGAGCAGTTTGTTTAACTTTAAGAACTTGTCGTAAAATATAAAGCATGAACTGAACAGAAACACAGGTCTCAGAACCTGGTCACCTATGGGGAATGACAGAAAGAAATGGGATAGGGAGGGGTTTGCAAGAGGGGCTTCAGCTGTGTCTGTGATGTTTTACATCATCTCTAAAATAAAAATAAAAACTTCTAAAACATAAAACATTGCAAAAAGCAAAATGCCAACATTTCTTAAACCCAAATCCTTACCCAACAGTGGGTGTTTTACGTCTTCCTGGCAGTGTGGGAAGTGGGGTCTCATGTCTTTGGCATTGCACTGGTCACTAGTGGGCTCAATGTCTTCGTGTTAACTGGCTATTCGGGTACCCTTTCCTGTAAGACATCTCTTTGTGGCCTTTTGCAAATGTTAAAAATAGTAGGAGGCTGTGAAGAAATGGAGGGGGTAGTTTGCATACACAATGATGCCCGAGATCTGTGGGACGAGCGAGAGAAGACCGGAGAGGGAGAAGAGAGACACAGCAGCCGGCACTGGGTCAGGCCCCGGGCCAGGCATTTTACATTTTCCCCTGATTTGTTCTCCAGCAGCTGTCAGGTAACTGTTTCCTCCCTGGTACACAAGAGGAAGCTGAGACTCTCTGAGATTAGGTGACCTGTCCAGGGTCACATCTGTGCCCAGTGTCTCCAAGCCCATTCCATGTTTGCTCTGCCATGGAGAAGTGGAAGGAGGACCGAGAGAAGAATGAAAGGGGGGAGAGAGAGTGGCCTTTACGACGGC